CCCACCCCCACCCCTTCACCCCCGATGTAGTTGGCTCTGACATCTTGATGGCGAAGTACAGAGATCTTTAAGTATTTTGAAATTTTACTTCCAATACTGATTTTAATGATACTTTTCCCTACAATCGAGAGCTTGTCGACACATTTCATTAAATCATTGATTCTGAAAAAAAAGATAAACAGACGTCGTACTTTAATTTAAAGTTTATCTTGTTTTTTTATTTCTTAGTATCTCTTGAAAGATTGTTTTAAAGTTAATTTATTTCGCTATTCTCTGCATTTAACCTAAAACAATTTATATAATTAATAACCGCAAGATATTGAAATATAGATATTAAATTAAAAATTTAGATTAAGCATAAATATTAGAGCGGCCGTGGTGCAGTGGTTACAGCGCTTGCTTTTTAAGCAGGAGGGTTTGAGATTTGAAACGAGCTCTGAACATATTTTTGCGTCACGTTAAGGAAGGAGGCGTGAACTTCCTGGTAAAATTCACTTCTGTGACAAGACCGTTGGGTCTTCTTGGGACACCTAAATAACAAAAAAAAAAACAATTTTTAATATTAATTTTATTATTTAAATTCTTAATCATCAGAAAAGTAAATATAATAAAGTTAATATTACAGAAAATTATTTAAGAAATTTTTAGAAGAAAAGAGTTCAAAAATCAAAATTTTCCTTAGGCCCCATCCAGCTTTGGAGCGGCGCTGCTTCTTGCAATAAATACCTGTTTCAATATGAAAAAACTTTTACTCATAACTAACGCTTTACTTGCAATAAATACCTATTGTACACACAATTTTGTTTCATCAGTATGGGCAATGTTTGCAAAAATTACACTTTGTCATCAACATCAAAAAAGTATTTTTAATCTATACTAGTTCTAATGCTCTTGCAGGGTTGATATTATAGCTTTTTTTTTATATAAAAACACTTAAAGTCGTTATTTTGGGAAAAAATGTCCGAAAAATACTTATTTGAAAAAGAAAGCTGAAAAATGAAAATTATTGCAATTAAACTAGAAAAATAATTTTTTTTGCAAAATAATTTTTCGCAAAAATTATATAGATTTAAAAGTTTAAAATTGATTCTAAAATGAAAATGACGTATATAGGGTAGATTAGGGTAATATGGGCACCTTGGTAGTATGAGCATACTTAAAGATTTATTAGATATAAGCAGTGAAGTTAAAGTTGCTTTGTGTTTTTCGAATCGACTTTATGTGGTGATAACAGGAATCAGTACAATTAGCGTAAATTTTAATGCAGTAATTAGCGGACATCATCTAATTAAAACGCTTTTAAATTTTTTGCTTTGTTAAAATAATATCTTCAAGCGTGAATAATTCTGTGGCGCAAAATTTTGGTGCTAAAATAATGAAATTACTTTTTTCATAAAGAAAAATATATTAGCTAAAAATCCAATTCATTTTGGTTTGAAAAATAATGCATAGAAACATTTATTTTTGACTTTATTCAAAGATGCCGTTTTTGTGTAATATGAGCATGCTCAAATAACCCAGTGTTTTTTTATTAGTTTAAAGACCTAAAATAGCAGTGGTTTTTAATTGCTTCTTGAATAAAAAAACAAAACATAGTAAAAAATTTTAATATTTTAACAATACTAAATATTTTTCTGTAACTTAAATTTAAAAAATTTGAATTTTTATTGTTCAAAGGCTTGAGTTAATAAAATTGAAAAAATAACGTTTTTTTTTTTTGTTTTTTTTTTTTTTGCGGAAAACATATTAGTATTGTTTCAACAAAATGTAGCTTAAAATTTGATCTTTTAATGATAAGTTTTGTTAATCATGAATCCTTATATTCCATAAAATTAGTTCTTTTAGTCAGGTTGGTCTTTTTTTACTTAATTAATGCTATTTTTTTGAGCTAATTTAAAGTGCTCATATTACCAAGGGGTCAGGGTAATACGAGCACTTTTGCTACTTTTTTAAAACCTCTGTATTTTTAAGAAAAAAATGTCTGGTGTCCAAATATCTAAATGGATCATGAGTAGGGATCCCTTTAATTGTTTATTGGCAAAAATTTTGGATCCAGCATACTTATTTTTGAAAATATTCCTATTTTCGCTTAAGGTGCTCATATTACCCTAATCTACCCTATATCACTAAAGCCAACAAATTAAATTCCAATAAAAATTTTATTATGTTTACTATTATGTTTTAAACGAATATTGATTATTTGATTTAATGGATTAATTTATTTGATTTAATTGATTATTTGATTTAATTGATTAATTTAATTGATTTAATTGATTTAGGCTTATTTGATTTACAAAATAACAAGTTTTGGTGCATTCACCTATATTTTGCTTACATTTTATCCACAAAATTTTTAGTTTATTGATATTGTAATCAAATACTTTGTGAAAATTATTTAAAATTTTTATTTATAAGTAGTTCAAAACGGAAATTTGTTTCAAAAGACAGTACAGCTTTATCGGTAAGTCTGCTATTGAACAAATTATGAAGAGATATGAACTTACTGAATGTACAAAGAATCAAAAACAACTACGAAGACCACGCAAAATAACGCATCGTCAAGATAAAAAGTAAAACTAAAAAAATTCTCATTTAACTACTTTTTTATCAGTTTGAGTTTGACGCAAAAAAAAATCTGAGGATTTTTTTCTCAAAAGGTTTTTGCCGCGAACGCGCGTGTTTTTGCCGCAAACGCGCGTGTTTTTGAATGCTCTTCAAGAATATTAATTAAAAAAATGGAAATAACGATCAAAAATATTGAAAAAAATATTACAAACAAGTTTGAAGAACAAAAAAGAACTTTGCTTAAAGAAACAGAAAGATTATTAAAAGACCAAGTAAAGAACTTCATAGTGAGTGGAAATATAAAAAAAATTACTGCTAGTCTCGACAAATAGAAAATGAATTAAATATTAACGTAAAAGTAAATATGTAAAATATTGAAAAAGACTTGAACGGTGTGAAAGAAAGTCTCAACTTTTAAGAAGAAAAAATAAAGGAAGAATTAACAAAAATAAGAAAAAAAATATGATCTTGAAATTAAAAATATAAATTATAAAAATACTAAATTAGAAAACCTAGGCTTACTTCAAAAAGTGGAGTTTTCTTTATGTTTCAAAGTGGCTTAGCTCAAACATCAAATAAAGTTGTCCACGGCCTTGTAAAAAGAGAAAGAAACTTTGGGAAGAAGTTAAATATCTTCGCAACCAAGGTAAATACGCAACGATAAAATTTAATAAAGTTTTTAGTGGCGATTTTAGAAAATAAGAAATTTTTGCGTAAAATTAAGAAAAAGATTTACATAAGTTTAAACGATCGAAGCAAAGTTAATTCTCCTAAACAAACAATAGATTACGAAACGCAAAACTTTAATATTTTCAAATCGGCTAATAACTTTTTTCTTAATAACTCTTACGATCCAGATTTGCATTTTTTTAATGAAAATAAATTTAACTCGGGGTTTTTTGAATGAGAAACTTTTAGAACTTTACGGTAATAAAGTCACATAAAGATTAAATAATAACTTTAATAAAGTCACATAATAAAGTAATAAAGTCACATAAAGATAGGAAGTATAATTAACAATATTGACAAACTAAAACATTTTCTGATAGAATGTAATTATCTGTTCAGTATGATTTGTTTAACAAAAACTTGGTGTTCTGACGAATCAACCAGAATAAGTTTAAACCTATTAATTTCGAATTACAAACTAATATCTAGAAGGTTCTCTTGTCAAACCCTTATTCCGACGCTGTCCTTAAGCTCCAAAAATATGAAAAAACGACTTTTTTATTTAAAAGAGAACCTGCCAACCCTAAACCCTCAGTCGTTGTTTGTAAACTCTGCTGCAAGTTCTCTTTAAAAATCAGTCGGTATATGTGCACACCGCTGCGCAAATCCCTATATACCCCATTTTGCATATTTCCTAGAAATACGAGTTCGCGGACACAAAGGACATAGGGGTTTGACAAGAGTGCGTTCCCTACCCAGACAGCCTCCCGCTAGCGGCCCAATGCTGGCCCAGTTCCGCTTGCGACTACGGCGCGATGACGGCCGTCGATCACGGGCCTGCATCAAAACGGCCATTGGGCCAGCACTGGCCCGCTAGCCATGGGCCAGTATTGGCCCGCAATCGTTCGCCAGCACTAGCCTGCGATTATTTGCCAGCACTGGCCCGCGATCGCTTGCCAGCATCTGTTGACAGTACTGATCCGTGATCATTTTCCAACAATCTTTCGTGTTTGCGTGTCAGCTCTAAAGCGTTACTTTTTACTAGATACTTTTACTACATACACTAGCACGTTATTATTAGCCGTTTCCGTGAAAATGTGTTATTCCATAAAATTCAAACAAATAAGTATATTTGAAATTTATTGTAAACCAAAAGTGTTTTAATTAATAATGAAATAATAAAAACAAAAACGTTGAATGAATCAAATATTTATTTTTGCAACGAATTTTTAAGATCTTCCCGAGCTTTACGGCCGCCATTTCGATCACCGGAAAGTTGAAAGTATCTTTTTATCCAACGTTCAACCTCTTCAGACACTGCTCCTGAAGTCGAAGGATTTATTTTAACAGCATCTAAACAGTGTGACTACATTGTATATATGGAATATATTTATGTATACATTAGTAAATAATTAAACATATATATATACATATATATATATATATATATATATATATATATATATATATATATACATATATATATACATATATATATATATATATATATATATATATATATATATATATATATATATATATATATATATATATATATATATATATATATATACATATATATATAAAATAGTTGATATATATATATATATATAAATGTATATATATATATATATATATATATATATATATATATATATATATATATATATATATATATATATATATATATTACTATACATATAAACATATTTGTGTAAATTATCGTGATTCAAAAACGACTTTTTTTTAAATAGTCCACTGTTCAA